TGGCAGCCGGGCATGCCCCTCACGGCCGGGGCCGGCCCGCCGCCTCAGCCGCCGGCTGCCGCCCTCCTCCTCACGCGCTTGCCCCGCTCCATGCCGGCCTCCGCGCGCCGCCGCTCAGTAGGAGCCCCGTTAGCTCCGCCGCCTTTTGTCCGCTCTCCGCGGTGCCCGAGGGGCCCCCTGCCACCCACGGCCGAGCCCCTCGTCGCCTGGCAGCTCCGGGCCCCGCGTCCCTTCTCCCCCCGCGCCGCCTGCCCTCACCCGCCAAGTTTCGCGCCCGGCAGTGAAAGGGGCTGCGAAGGCTCTGCGCTGGGAAGCCCGTGCGGGGGCTGTGCCAGCGCCTCGCCGTGCGCGGCTCCTCCGCGGCGAGGGACACAAAAAGCCGTTTATTCCCGGGTAATTTGGGCAGTTTTCTCTTCCCGGGGCTTCAGTGCCAACAGGAGGAAGAGAAAGAAGCGTCCCTTCTTTCCGGGGACAGAAGAGCTCCATGAGCAAATGGGCTCCCTCTCTACCATGTTTAATTTTATGAGCGTTTTTGAAGGGCCAAGGGGTGTGTTGGAGATGTGCTCCTGTGTAGGAAAATTCTGACATCCTTTCCTCAGCCCAGGGCAGATGCTAGAGCACTGCATTCTGGCTAGGGCACTGCATTCACTTCATTCCTCCTTGATTTCACTTCTTCCCCCCACCTCCATCCCACTCGCCTTATGCCCTGTGCCAACAGGTTTCAGTGGGAAAACTCATATCRCAAAGTTTTGCTCAACATAATAAGCTATCTGATTTGAGTTTACTGTCAGATAGGACAGGAAAGCAACAGATTCATTTTCTTTCTCTTATATGCATGGCCACCTTGTGCAACTTGCAATCCCCTAGCAGTAGGATAAATTGTAGTTGAGGAAAACACGTGGGTAAACTACTTACTGAGTTAGCTTAGTGAGTAAGAATAGCAGAACCAGGCACATGGAAGGAGGAGTACGGGATAGTTCAATAGGCTCCTTCTAAGTGCAACTTTTGTAAGTTGCTCTGGGGCACATTTTGTTAGTAAGTGAATTTAATATGACGAGGGGCAGGTTCAGTGCTGGAGAGCTGGGTTCAGGGCTGTGTCTACCATCATGTCCAGCTTCATCATGAGAAATCTCTCTCTCCCAGCAGCAATCATTGCAGAGAAGGGAGCATCTATGGGCGTGCTTCGGCACTGCCTCTCGGGGCAGCAAGGTGAGAACACGGCTGCGTCCAACACGCTGTTTTCCTCGTCTTCTGCATGGTCAGTGCAGTGCTGCCCTACACGGCAGAGTAGTGCTTGAAGTATATTTTCTAAGTATCTAACAGACTGGATTCAAATCTGGATCTTGACCTTTCTCCTCCAAAGAATAGGAGGTATAGTTCCACATCTGTGAAGTTCTGCACATGCATCATTTCTGCTTTAGCTGCAGTTCTGAAAACATCTCGTAGTTACTCCTGACTTTGGGCTAGGGACAAAGCAAGGTGGCCTTGGGTCTGGTTGGGTGACATAGCTGAGCTAATTTAATAAACTGTAAATACTACTAAACAGTACATCTAACTAGCAAATAGTAGCATCTAGACACTGCTCAGAGGCACCCTCGTCCCTCCTCCTCCCCATTTCCCTCCGCACGGTGTGATCCCCTCTGGTACTGAAGATGTGTCCCACTGCCTCRGGAGCGGACTCGGCTCCCTGAGGGAGCAGGTCACTGTTTACCTTTTCTTTGCAGAGTTAATCCTCAGCCAGGCTAGAAAGAGCCCCAACATACAGCAGGACACACTGCTAAAGCTGTCACAGGGCTCAGCTGGATCACGTGTCTGCACCTTAAGGATGCAATTCGATATTACAGGTAAGGTGATCTATAGGTGGAAACATTCCTGGCCCTATTTTCAGCCCGGGCTTTTGCCTGCGCTGCTCCCTTTACGTCAGCTCTGGTAATCACCTAGCCGCAGCGCGACCCAGTTCAACTCCCATGCGGCAGCAATGATCTTGCAGCCACCTGCAGGGACTCAGCTTGCGGCTGCGCGTCGCGGCATCTGCCTTGAACTGAACCGGGGTACGTAAGGAGCCACGTCGGCCCTTCCGTCTGCAAGCAGCTGCTGCTGACAGCACCTTTGGCATGTACCTTTGGCATGCAGGTGCCTGCTGCTTCGAAACTAGGGAATTTCTGATAGGAAGAGACTATGAAAGAGTAACAGCTAAAAAGTACCAAGAGAAAGCAAGCTCATGAAATAAATACAAGTTACATGACACATGCTGTTAACCTTCTTATTTTATGATAGAACCCCCAGGAGGGAGTTACACAGGGAATAAAGCCTTGTCTTTCCAAAAGGTTTCCTTATGTCATGCAGACAGCAGAAAAAAGGTTGCGTATAGTTTCCCAGCCTCTGAAGTCCCAAAGATCCTCTGGGAGGATCCTGCTGGGAACATGTCTCTGTGTGTGTATACACACATACCTATATACCTGTATGTATACGGTGTATAGGTGCACACCTATACATGCACATCTTCAGAACAGAGCAAGAGTTGACCCAGGAAGCTTTGATTCAATAAAAGGTGCYTTTGGTCCAGGGGACCTTCTACTTTGTAGTGATCGGTAGCCAGCTGCGAACTTCAAATCTAGTTTTCAATTTCCCCAAACTTCAAGGATTTCAGGGCCACCCAAGTTAACTGCATCCCATCTAGTGTGAAATAGGAATCAAAGCATTTCTGTGTGCCACAGCACATTTCCCTAGAAAACCTCTGCATCAGAAACATTTTGCTGCTGGTATATATTAAAATGTGACTCTCTCGCTTTGCATTTCTGTATTCCTAAAGAAAGCTACATCGCTAGTCTCATTTTAGCTGAGAATTAAGCTTGATGAAAATTAATTAGGAGACTTTAAATTAAAGTAAGTGGCAAAAACGGTAGTAAAAATAAACGTGGAATAAACACATCCTTCCCTCCACAATGAAATTGCAGAAACCCTTGAATTATTGCTTGGGAAGAGAGGACAACCTGCTTYGGCTGACGCCCACTGGCGTGCGGGCATGGTGAGGGCTCGGAGTGGGGCTAGGCGAAGCCTTGGGGGGCCGGGGGCTGCCCCACGCAGCCCGCGGGGGAGCTCACGCGGCACGAGCGGAGCCGGGAGCGCCGGGAGCGGCTGAGCCCCCGGCTGCCTCGGCCGCCGCTGCCACGGGGGCTCAGAGCCCTCCTTCTCCTAAGTGCTTCGTTCCTTGTGAGAGTTGCAAACGAAGACAACTAAATCAGTCGGGATGTCCTGGCGCCCAAGCTAATGAAATGCAAACCTGGTTCATTAGGAATTATTGTTCTGTTTGGCTGGTTTTATCACCTTCTGTCATTAGCTCTGGACGCCTATGAAAATAGCGGTACATTATCTTTCACAAGGTACAGATTAATCTCCTCTTTTCCTGCTTGAGGCTCAGGAAACTTTCAAGTGTTGTTCAAATATACTTCAAAAATGTACTATGCCATATAAATATTTCTTTCTGATTTCCTGTGGCGAAGTTGAGTGACTGAGAAACATCACAAGATCTGATGCACATTTGAACGTGTCCTTCAGGCAGTAAAATTCTCCTGCAGAGTACTGAGCCTGCAGTGGAATCCAAATGCATTTTCTCGTATATGCCATTAATCAAAAAGAAGATGTTTCAAGTAGTACTCACAGACATTTTACTGCATCAGTGTGCGGGGAGTTTATTAGGTTGCATCGCAAACTAGAGGCAGAAAAATGACATAATATAAAAATAGAGTATAGCTTTGTGGAGAAGAGAGGAGCATAGAGTAATTCAATGATTTAAACAAGAGAAAGCGTGCAAACAGAAAAAGCTTTCCCATATATATGTGTTCTGAAGAACTTCTAATATATTTTATCCTGCTTGCTTCTTACTTTTTGCAGATCTTTCCTAGGCACAGTTGCCCATCAGAGACAAATAAATCTATTCTCTTTTTTTCCCTTTACCACATCCTAGATTCCCCACTGCAACTTGCAAAGACAGTTCCTCTTGCCCCTCTTCTCAGATCCTGCTTCTAGTTAATCTCTTCATTAACCTCATCCAACTTTTCACTTCCATTTGGAAACCATTGCACCTAAGGACTATTCAGATACTCGGGCAATGATTGTGGCAAATTGCTGCTTCCTTGTGATGCTTCAGATTGGACAGAAAAATCAAGACACAAAAATGCTCTGGATTTTTTGTCCACATATCAGAAATGATTCCTAGCACTGCACTGCCTGGYGCTCCTCTGCCACACTCCTTGTCCATCCTTGCTACAAGTCACCAATAGGAAAGAAAATACTTAGTTAGCTTGAAGATAGAGCTTCAACAGTTTAAAAGTGGAATTGGAAGTAGAATTGGCCCTACCTGAGACTGGAGTGAAGGGACTGGATTTGGTGACTTGGGAACAATTTTTCTGACTGTTGCCACAGAGGTTACTCTACAACATAAACATGGAGTGTGTGGCATGTTGTATAACTGTCCATAGTGTATGAAAGGAGACCAAAGAAAGGAAAATGTCACAATTGGTTTCCAGTCTTTCTATATGCAGTTTCTGGTCTTTGTACCAAGCTCAGGCCAAGTGATCTCATATGAATACTGAATTTGGCTCTTTGTGGCCTTCCTATATGAGATTCTGAAGAAATTCCAGAAACATTTTGAAGTTGCACTAAGGTTATGCAGCAGGGAAAAAAATCTAATAGYTCGACATGGCCTCCTGCAGTGTGTTATTTGCACCAACCATTATTACAGGCAGATTATTTTACACATTAGACCTGCGTAGTTTGCAGGGCTCCACAGAGCATTTAGATTTGTGGTACACCGAAAAGGTAAGAGAATTAAGAGCCATCTTTTCTAATCCAATGATTGCATTATATATTCCAGCCTATTGATTAAGAAGTTTCTTAGGCTTTGATACCATCAGAAAAGTTACCATGTTGTGATATAGAATAAAAACTCACCTAGTTTTTCACTAGACCTAAAACTAGTCTAGTTTGAGGACTGCCAATTCTGCAATGCAGCCACTTTAGGAATCTGCACCATTTCAAGTTCATTTCAGTAGCAAAACTGCTGTCAGGTGGCCACGGGCTACCCATTTGCGTCTGGTTAGGCCATAGTGTTTAAAATGCACAGGAAGCAGTCCCGGCATTTGCAGAGGTCTGAGCACGGGCTTGATCCTAGGAGAGCAAGGAAAAGCAAGCACGGATTCCTGAGGATGGAAAAAGCATCCTCATTGTAGGCGCGAGAGACCACCAAGTGGATGCTTTTGATATTGCAGACGAAAGGTTTTGTGAGCTAGAAATACACCTTCCTGAGAGCATCTTGCTGCTTTTCTCCATTCACATAAGCACAGCTGAATTTAAAGAAGTTTTTATTTATTTTTTYTTTTTTTTTTTTTTTTTGGATCAAGGATTGTGTACTTAGTTCTCTATGTTTTAAAATTATATGACATGTAGATATCATAGCTGACATATCATAGCTCATTCACACGTAGGTTTATCCATTTCTGGATTTCTCTTCTATAAATCCAAGTCTGAAAATAAAAAAGAAAAAAAAAATGAGCAGGATCATGGATGACTTTGAGTAACAGTCCTGTAAGAGTTAATTACTTGTGGTTATTCTTTGAAGCTGCTCTTTGCAGTTTCACTGTGAATGAAAAAATGGCTGGGCACGGAGCAAGCTACAAAATGATCTGTGAGTGAGATTGCATTTTCTATCAGTCTGTGAAAGTAATTAGCTTTTCTCTGGGTARCGCCTTGCTACTCCTCAGGTACCCAGTGCCAGGTGACACTCGCTTGGGGAACGGGAGCCAACTTGGTTGCCACGCTGCTTGGGACAAGTAGATCAAAATCATAGAATGCCGAAGGTTGGAAGGGACCTCAGAGGTCATCGAGTCCAACCCCCCTGCWCACGCAGGGTCACCTAGAGCACGKGGCACAGGGCTGCATCCAAGYGGGTTTTAAAGATCTCCAAAGAARGAGACTCCACAACCTCTCTGGGCARCCTGTTCCAGTGCTTTGTCACCCGCACAGTGAAGAAATGCTTCCTTAAGTTCCTGTGGAACTTCCGATGCTTCAGTTTGAAGCCATTTCCTCYAGTCCTATCCCTGCCCACCACTGAAAAGAGGC